ATAATTAGAAAAATATCTAATTTAATAAGAAAATTTTAATTTTAAATACATAATATTTTATTATATCCAAACAATATATTCAAAAATACATGTATTAAAAATTTATTTTTTTATTTAATTTAGACAAAATATTTTTAAATACATTTATTTTAAATACATATTCTAAATACAAATCTATGTTCCCAAACACAACCTAAATGAGTTTTGTTAAGACATTTTATCTTGACACATATTGGGATTAGGTTTTTTCCGAGAGGTTTCTCCTTTTTTTGGGTAAAGGAAAGGTTTCGCTTGGAATTATATAAACTATAAAATATTGATCATTTCTTGAAAATTTATTGACTACCCATTTATATCTTCGGATAAGGTCTTGGTAATTAGCTATTTACTTTCATTTTTCTGGTATATTAGATTGTTAGTATGCTTAGCCGATGCTAATAAGTTAGTGGTTGTCAACATGCTATGTATTTCTAGTGGTCTTGACAATCCATGGAAATTGCTGACCAAGTAAATCCTAGTCGAAGATACATTTGAGTTTCCTAAGATCATACCTAATCATAAATTATAGATTGTAGAGGGAGCAGATCATTGTTATACAAAGCATCAAACTGCATTAGTGTCAGTTGCTGTAAAATTTCTAAAAACAAAACAACCCTATAAGAAGACAAGGATTCTGCAAATTAGGTAGCTTTCTGCTGATTAGCTTTTTTTTACCTTCTTGTTTGTCAAATGGCAGATGCGCTGAACTTTGAGCATTTAACCTTGTTCCTGATAATGAATTAATGTAATACAGGTACCTGGTGGAATGCAACTGTGATGTTATGGATCTGAAACCACACTAATACAATCAAGATAAATCACTGTTGGAATATATATAGACACCACTGTTGTTTCTGGATCTAGAACAACATCCTCAAGCACCTGATAAATCATCATCAAACTGATTCAGCAACCAAAGCAAATACGTGAAGATTTACCAATAAAAACGAAAATACATGAAGAATCAAATACATAAACCAGTCAGCCAGTTTCCAACACACACACACAAAAACGGGTTTTCAATTCCTGATCTTCTGTGGAATCCACCCACTGGGTTTTTGGAATATATTCTCCGTCCCCAGTTCTCGACAACAGTTACCTCTGAAGTCTCTCGACAATCAAGCTCATAACCATCAACAAAGTGAAATCAATATCCTTTGTGTGTCTCTTTCGGCCTTTTGGGCCTCCCACGTTGAAAGACAAAGTGCCCGTTATGAGTTGGACCTGAATTGTACAACTGCAAGCCCAGTTGAATTTTTGGTAAATGGTGGGTGCTCTACTCTAGTGGATAATAATTCATGTCTAACCCACCTTGTTGAGTTCATGCATTTTTTCGCCGTTTTTGGAGCCTTTGACAATTTTCTTTTTTAACAGTTTCCGGTCAATCTTTCAAAAAGCAAGGTGATGTGCGAGGGGCGATTGTCCCCAGCGCTGCTTTATTTTCTGATAGTATCACGTACTGCATCACAAAATATCAATTATAATGTAACGTGATAACTTAGTATTATACGATAACCCTCTATGGTTGAGGCTATTATAATTAATTTAATTATAATTTTATTAATTTATTTTTTAAATAATTAATTATGATATTTAAAAATATTTGTTTATAATATTTTAATTTGTTAGATAATAAATGTTAATTATTTTATCAATTATTAGTTATTTTTAAAAATCAAATTAAGATAAAAATTTAACATTCTTTGGTGACCTTAACAAATTTAATAATCGTTATAAT